GACATGCCATTGACTGTGACCTTCCTGCTTCTCATTTTCTATTTACCTTTCCTTTATCGTTGTATTCCACTCCAATACTTCTGCTTTCAACTCAAATGATAACTGACTTCAGTCTCTGGAACACTGAGCTGATACACCTTTTACTCAAATTCTTAGTCAACTGGACTACACTAAGGAACTAGTACAAGTAGTAGGTTGTGAGCAAAATGATCTCCAAAATGCACCAAATCATTGTTTGGAAAACCATGTGGGTTGTTTCTATGAATACCCTTTACTCATTTTCTGCATATGAGCATATCTAAGTGTTACTATATCAATACTTTTCATAGAAAACAACACTCTAGGGAAAACCCATAGTAGCCGGTCAGTACCTCTGTAAGGACAAAACCCTCAACACCATTTTCTCATGCTCCACCTGCTTTCCACTGTGCTGCCCCTGTGGCTGTCTGCAGTATAGAGCTATTCAGAACACACAGAAGGAACACACCAACTAGATTAGCAGCTTGACTGCACTGAAGGGATGGTCATGGCCTTTCCTCTCTGGACTCAGGGTACACCTCCACTCAAATCACTGTATTTATGACTCTGCTCCTTTCTAGTTTGTTCATGTGCTCTATGCCAACTGTAATGTGTTAGGTGATATAACTATATTCAAATCAAGTATCTGAATTTAAACCAAGAGAGTCCATGCATTCCTTCTTTGATAATGACTGAATAGGAAAATAACCAATTCTAGATACTGCATCAGAATATAAAACATGTAGGAATTACTAATTTTTGGAAAGCCACCATGTCAAGAGCTTGATTTCTATATGACAAAAATATGGAATGTAAACTTATCCAATATAAATTATCTGCTCTTTCCTGTGTATTGAAGTATTCTCAGTGTTTCAATTGGAAATTTTCACAAAATGTTCCCAGCCTAGGGATTTAGGTACTGTGTTCCCCATTTCAGAAGAACAGAATCACTGTGAGGACTATCTATGAGTAACCCTTCCTGCCACACCACATCACCAAAGACATCACCCTGGTGTGATTCATCATCCCTTTTGTTTGTAGTATCCCAGTTCCTTCTCCCCTGTTCTATCATAGCCATGAACAATCCTTTCCCCATGGAAGAGCCTGATGTAATCGGAATACTGTGATAAAAACAGCTCAATTTCTATATCATTCAGACTAAAAGCCAAACTTTGTTTGGGCACATGTTTCTACTCTAACATGATTTCTTTGCGTCTGTGAAGTCCTCTCCACTTTCTATCTTGTTCTGACTCCTTTGTAGCCTCATCAACATTTCCTGTAGAGATTCTTGCAATTGCTAGAGAGAGTCCTGCCTCAGACCCTTTGTACACATCCTCTGGTGGCTGAGTCTCTCAATCCTCACAAGGAGTCTCTGATAATCACGTTCATGGTAACTGAAGCAGACACCACTGTCCACAGTTTAGATCTCCTCAAGGCAGGAATGACCTCACCATGGGAGTCTTTCCACACAGCAGTGGAAAGATGCAGTGGAAAGCATCACGGAGATGCGTATTTCTGGCGAAACCCCACATTCTTGCAGCCCTTTATATCACTGAAGGAGCTGGAGTCCATTCCTTGTGAGGGAGAACATCGGCTGAGGCAACAGTGCAGTACTGTCTCACCCACCATGTCTTACAAAGTCTGCAAACATTTAGCAGTGACCCCTTAGAAAACTAAAAAGGAAAACAAAACACAGTTGTTATTAAAAAACATAGGGCGACGATTGCAACTGAAAAAGCAAATAATAGGAGGACAAAAAGAAATGGAAACAAAGCAAAACTGAAAGCTTCAGGGCAAGCATTAATGCCTATAGCCTCTTGTTCAGTACCCATGGAGGTGGTTTATTTGAAGGTGGGAGAAGGAAAAGAGAGAACAGAGACAAACAGTTACTCTGGATGAGCAGGCAGCATTCAAAGGTGAAATACTCCAGGTAAGTGACACTTTTGATGTCCTTCCATTTGTATTTCATGAAACACTCAGTATGGCAATGTATCAAGGCATTTGAATGAGGCCGTGCAACATGGAGCTTAATTTAAATCTTCAATGCATACATTTCCCTTTCCTGTATTCTACACTCCAGTCACCTTTTCTATAGCTCCCAAAACTTGATTCAGTGTACAATCCTCACTGAGCCCGGAGATTAGACGACTTTCAGTGAGAGGCTTCATTTGGTTCATAACATCTCCAATAGCATTATTTTTCCTAAAGTCTATGTCCAGAAGCTGGATTAGGTTTTATCCTGAAAGAATTTCTAAGGTTGTATTTTATGTTAAAATAGAGATTGCTGAGGACACATAAACTCTCATGCAGTGCCCACTGCAGTTTAACACAAAAACCCTCGTGTATTGGCTGCTGTGGTCTGAATGCTGTGGACTGTATTTCCTAGCCTACACCAGTGCAGAACGCAATTGTTTCATAAAGTGCATAACTTTATGGTGTATTGGTTAGTCTGCTACAATGCAGTCACACAGTCCTTGGAAATACCCTTCAGTCAATTACAAGGTACACTTATAGCCATGCTAGGAGTAAGGGAGCAAAAAATATATTTCAATTTGCTCAGTCAGTCTCAATGATGGAGGGGTCACAGTAATTGGGTATTCCAGCATGCTCTGTTTCCCATAAGCATTGCTGTGGGTAACCCATGCAAGTTCATTCAGTGGATTGAGCTTAACTCAGTCAATGTTAATACATTCAGTTGGAATCAATGATAAAGATAGATCTTTACAAGGAATTGAATACTAAAAAATTCAGCAGCACATAGGTTGGTTTCCAGAGACACACAGGTATAATTACATAGTACTTTTAAATACTTTTGCTGAAAAATCATTAGCAAACAGAAGAATGTATGAAATATGTCTAAAGAAATGTATGTAAGGTTTTTTATTAATTTATTAATACATATTTGGAGTATATGTTGTTTACATTCATCTTATGAAGTATGTGTATGTCCCTAGCATACCTTGATTTTTTTTATGCTTTCCTTCCACAACCGCCAAACAAGCTCTGTGGCAAGGTGCTCTTTCCCCCTTTTCATTATCATCATCATCATCATCATTGTTGTTGTTATGAAAATGTTTGTGACATATAAATATGCATTCTTTGTTGGTAGTTGGTACATACACATGATGCATCTTGAATACTTTTACATGCTCTCCCTTTTCCTGTTATCCTCAGCATCACGGTCCAGTGCCCATATGCCAAAGAATTATGTCCTTCTTTCTTCCTGTATCCATCAAATGATGAAAGAATTTGAGAAATATGTTATCTATACAGAATTCAATATAATTTCACTATAAATCTGAGATACTTGTATGAAAATGATACACTTTGAATATATAGTAATAGAATTAAATTAATCATAAATGTCCTTTAAATATAGAATTTTCCTAAGCGCATGCAAACATCTGTCTTTCACAAGTGGAATAAAGCATACTTCTGATAATGTCAAGAGTTTCTCAAAGTCTATCCCCAGAGAAATAATTTTATATTTCCAGGGAGCCGACTGTAAATTGCATCAAAATACAAAATCTTTTTAGAAATAAATACAGTGCAAAGAAAAAATCCTTGGTAAAAATTGAAGAAATTTAAGAGTCTTTGGAAACATCATGAAACTATGGTCATGTTAATTTTGTTTAACCTGAGAATTTTATATTTAGTTAAGGAAAAAATATTGAAGTCACAAACACTGAAACTTACAATTGCTTCCTATGCTGATAATGCAAAAATGATAACAGATATACGGAGAAAACAGTGAAAACAGTCCTCTACGCAAATTGGAGTACTCTGAGGCTCACTATGTCAATCACTGTCATCAAAATGAGATCTGAAGCATTATTTACTACTGTATGAGGGAAACAAGGTGGTTACTCACTGACATATCTTGGTTTCTCCATGCCCACACATGGTAACCATCACTATACTCTCAGCATCTGTGGGCTTGTCAGTGTTATATGTGAAATAACATATGGTCAAACTTTAATTTGTTAGGCATGGCAAATTTCAGTGGATTATCTCTTGCTTAATTCATATTGTTACAAATGAAAGGCGTTCCTTTGCTTCAGTCTAAATGAAGTTGAACTTTATGAATAATCTTCACATTATCCATAAGGGTCACTCTTGGATAGCCCTAATAGTGACTCAGTTTGTCAAAAATGGTGAACGCAGCTTGTAAACCCTATGGTTTGGAGCATCTTGTGGAAATATATATATATTTTGGTACCAAGCATCAAACTCACAGCTTTGCACTTCCTACGCAGGCACTTAAGCCACTGAGCTACCAGTGAAATACTGAGAAAACCTCAATACACAAGAAAGATTAGGTAATTTACGTTTGATTACTTTTTCTTCCATACATTTTGTCATATAGAAATCAGATTCTCGAAATGGTGGATTTCCACTCAGTAGTAATTCTTGCATGTTTTCTATCCAGATGCAGCATCCTAGAATTGGTTGCTTCTTATTCACTCGTTATCACAGAAGGAATGCATGGGTTCTCTTGGTTTAAATTTAAACTCAATACCTGATTTGGTATTTTAACTCCGGAACTATCTCGAGATACTTGTGACCACATTTTGAGCAGCAGCACCAAGGAGGAGTCCCCTGGGTTTAGTCAAAAGATAGGAGCCAGTGATGGTCATGCATGCCACTAATTCCAGATCTGAGAAGACTGATGCAGGAGGATCACATAGAGTTTGCAAAATATGGCAAGCAGACGAAATCCCATTGAGACACCCTGTCCTCAAAAAAGAGATGCTGCTCTCCAAAACATGAAGAAAATAGTGCTCAAAGTAAGGCTAGGGCTGGTCAGCATAAGAAATGGCTCTTGAAAATCTTTGTTTCACAATACCATTTGAGTTTCATTTACACTTGCAAGGCTTGGTTTGTCTTGTCAATCTTAGCTGAGAGGCAGAGCTAAGGAGCAGGAGCAAATCAGCGTTGAAGGGCGGGGCGTGCAGACTGTCCAATCAGGTGGGCCGAGGGAGGAGGCTGTGTTTCCCTGCGCGCGGAAGTTCAGAAGCTGAGCATTTTTCTGTTAATCCGGCCGGCTGATAAAACTTCCTTGCTTTGAGACATCTGCTGGCTAGAGGCTGTAGGAGAAGAACCTTGGGGAGCCCCTGAAGCCACACAATGGTGAGGTTGTGAGATTGGTGCCCTGAGATGGATCGGGAGGGGATGGGACTGAGGTCCGGATGGAAGAGGTGGCAACGGCAATGGCGGCTGGAACCGCTCTGCCTGGTCTGCTGTCTCGTGTCTCTAGTGCTGTGTGCCCTCTGTCTCCCCCTCCCTGGCTGAGGCAGGTACGTTTTTGGTGCTCAGAACTTAGTTTTTCCAAGGCCACGCTGCCAGCTCAGAGTGCAGTGTCAGACAGCCGCGGGCCACAGTTGCTTCATGAGCTGAACATGGAGAGTGGGAGTTGTGCAGAGACCTTGTTGAGAGGAGGAATGAACTGGGGAAGCTGTGGTGCGCTGCTCTCTGGTCCCATTGCCTGTTGTTTGCATTGCACAGAACCTTGAACCCAGGACTTTTGCTCTTAACTGAATTTTGCACAGTTTTTAACAATTTCTTGTCCAATTTGAAATTGAGTGTAAGTTGCCAGGCTGCATTGAATGTGTTTGCTTGATCCTCTGTTTTTGTTTCTGTTGTTTGATTTTTGAGATAGGGACTAGCTATGAATTTCAGGTTGTGCTCAAACTTTCAATGGAGTCACGCCTGCCTCAGTCAGGAGATCCTTTTTTCCAGGACTTGCAAGTGCTGGGAATTGCAGACAAGCACCACCTCACTTGGTTTGCAGTGAACTTTTGCTCTTGACGCAGTCTCCTGGAGTGCTGAGATGAGAGACCTGTGCCACCCTGCCTGACTAAGATGGGGGTGCTCTATTACAACTGGTTTTGCTTTTCATTTGTTTCGTTCGTTTTTAAAAACCGCTGTTAAACCAGATTTGTAGTGTTTTCTTAAATGAAATTGCATTGACTCATTGTGAGTCAGTTTCCATTTGGGACACTGACTACACCAACTGACTACGCCAGTTTGGACAGAGGGGCAACATTCAGTACAACATAATGTAAAAATAATGGGGCTGTGTCTGCCGTCTAAAGGAACTTGTGTAACATGCCTGAGGCCCTAAATTTACTCTCCAGTGCTGAAGTGTTAAAAAAATGATTATCATTCAGTTAAAATATACCTATTATTGATATATATGTATGTGAAGGAGATACTTACAAGTCACCTATTATAAACGGATGTGAACCAGCATTTGGGAAAAAGCACACATTTTACTAATGGCAAGAACAAGAATTATTGTTTAATAACGTCTTTAGGGTGTTTAGGTACATGTAGAAAGCTGTAAATAATTTTGAACAGTGTGCAAAACTTAATGTGTATTTTACCAATTAAGAACATACATTTGTGAGGGAGGTTGTCTTATCCCATTGCAGTAAGACTTTTGTCGCTCTGGATTGTAAATAGTACATAAAAGGTAATTTAGAAAGCAGTTTTAGATTTGCAGAGTAGTAACAAAAATGATGGTTGATTGCATTACGTTGGCTTTTTAAATTTTTTAATTTTACCGTCAAAGAATAGTAAATATGATGTTGCAGAAATTCAAAACACAATAGGACATAAAAAATGATTAATATATTGTGTATAGTTACCTGCAAAGTTGTTGCTCAGACTACAAAAGATAGGCATAGAGATGATAAATTAAATGAAAGGATAAGTTGTTCTTTTTGATGAGTTCACAGAGATTAGTAGTATATTTATGCTGTGTGTATATATGTATATATATACATGTATACAAAGCCATTCTCTCCTTTCTTTGATTGCATTATATTTGAAGCATGACATTTTCAAAACTAAGACGATTATGTAATAGTAGTTTGCATGACCAGAAATCTACAAGAGAATTAAAAGTAGCTATCTACATACATAAGAATTTCCTAAGACACAGCTTTTTAAATACTTTTTTTGAGAAAGGGTCTCATAGTGCAGTTCTGGAAAGCCTAAAACTTGGTATGTAGTCCTTACTGTGCTCAAACTTGTGGTAATCCTCTTCCTTTGTCATCCCTAATACTAGAATTACTGGCATATCCTGGCACAGGCAGCTGAGACTTAATAATTTTTTTAAAACTTTAATTATAAGGAAAATGGAAAACACTGGAAGTATTTAGAAGATTTTAAATCTCTTTGTAGAAGGAATTTTGCACCTTTAATTAAGAAAAGATAAAAAATCAAAGGGCTTTTGAAAAGAAAGACATTACTATTGTCCATATTTTAAATTTTTGAAAAGATTTTGGCAGAAATTCTCTAATTACAAGTGTTTTACTAAAGATTGCCTCTGTCAAGAATGTGATCAATTCATGAGAAAAATGTTTCCCATTATTATATAACTATTTCACCCCATGCATAAGTTATCAGTTATAAAACTTATAATCAACATTGATTTGTGTTCCAAGGTTTGTCAGTTATAGATATGAACAGTGTATATATGTGCAAAGAACATCAAATACTTGAAATGAGAAAATTGTATAACCATATCTTTTTAAATCATAAAATATTTTCTGGAAAATACCCTGATTTTTAAACAACTGAAAAGTTATTAATTTAATCAGAGTATCCTTTTATAAGGCTGAGCAGTATTCCCTTTCTTTAAAAGACCACACCTTTGGTGTCCAGTTCTCTGTTGATGTGCATTTGGGTTGTATTCAGATTTTTGCTATTACATATTGTACTGCTGTGAACATGGGTATACTCTCCCACTGTGGCATGATGTTTTTAACTGTACTTGGAACACACTCACAGGAGAATACTTCATTAGAATGGACCTCTAATATGACTTTTTGAGGAATCTCCATACTGACTTCCACAGTAGGTGGGGAAGTCTCCACTCTCACGTAGTTTGGAAGAGTTTTTTTTTTCTCACATTCCCTCCAGTTATTGTTATTGGTTGATTTCATGATGAATTCCCATTCTTTCTGGAGTAACATACAATCTCAATTTTGTTTTCATTTGTACCTCTTGAAGGATCAATAATGCTGATTGTTGAATTGGGTCATTGAATTTGGTGAGGTCTAATATTTTTCTATTGTTTCTGTGTTGTAGATATAAGTCCTTTGTCTGAGGCACAGTTGACTAAGATCTTTTTGTCATTATTGGCTAAGTTATCTTTTTTGCTCTTGGTGCTTTCTCTTGTTGTGTGAAAACTTTTTGATAAGATGACCACTCAGTTGTTGATTCTTTGTAGTATTTCCCGTGCAGTCTGGATTTTCTTCATGTTGTCTGTGCTTAACACTCATGTCTTCAAGATTTGAAACTAATTTCTCCTCCAGTGGATTTGGTGTTTCTGTTATAATGTTTAAATTTTTGATCCATTTTGACTCAATTTAGAGTATGATGATAAACATCCCGTTTTAGTCTTCAGCATGTGGAGAGCCAGGCTGTCCAGCAGATTTATTGTAGAGGCTTTTTTCTTCCAGTGAACATATTTGGCTCCTTTGTCAAGAATAAGGTCACTGAGTGTGTTTGGAGTTGTCTGAATCTTGTGTCAGTTGCAGTGACCCTAGGATCTATTCTTTTTTGTGGTACCATGCTGATTTAGTCACAGTAGCTTTGTAGTAGAACTTCAAGTAAGAAATTCACACCCCTGCTGTATCTTGGTTGCCCAGAGTTGCTTTTCCTATTGTTGATCTCTGTTCTCAAATGAAATTTTCAAATGTTTTCTTGAGTTCTTTGAGATATGCTAATCTATTTAATCAGAATTGCATTAAATCCGTGTAACGCTTTGGGACTGTGGGCATTTTCAGTATGCGAATTCCTCTCATCCATGATCAGAGAGATACGTTTCTAATTTGAAATATGCTCTTCAGTGTTCTTTTTCAGGGTATTAAAATTTTGAATGTATAGATCTTTTACTTCCTTTGTTAGATTTCTTCTCAGACATTTTGGGGGATGGCATTATGAATTGTGAGATTTTCCTTTTTTCTCTAGAGTGAGTATATATTTTGTGTACGGGAAAGCTATTGATTTTTTTACTATTAACTTTTTATACAGCTACACTACTGACTTCGCTTATTAAATCTACAAATCTTTTGGTGGAGTGTGGTTTCTTCTATGTAGAGTATCATTTCATACATGAATATTAAAATTTTAACTTCTTCCTTTCTTATCCTCCTTCCTTTTATTTTTGTCTCTTTTCTAATTGCTCTGCTTAATATCTCCAGAACTGTGTTAAACAGCAGTAATGACAGTGAACATCCTTGCCTTGTTCGTGGTTTTAGAGTCCAAGCTTGGGGCCGGGGATTTAGCTTAGTGATGTAAATGCCTGTCTGCCAAAGCGCGAGGTCATGAGTTTTATCCCTGGTACCAAAAATAAAAAAGAAATAAAAAGATAGCAAGTTTTCAGTTTGTGACCATGAATTATGGCATTACCTGTTTGTCATGGGTATCTTTTATCAGATTGAGATAAAGAAAACCTGTTTCAATTTTCTGTAGGATCTTATCATTAATGAATGTTGGCTTTTATGACATATTTGTCTGAATCTGTTAAAATTACCACATGATTTTTGTGTTTGACTATGTAAATCTCCTGTATTGTTTTCATCAATTTGTGTATGTTGAATGATCCCTGCTGTGATCATCATGATGTGGGATCTTCAGGATCCACTGCATTCTGTTTCCCAGTATCTTATTGAGGAATTTGGTGCTGTGGTCACGAGGGAGATTGGCCTGTAGTTGAGTCCTTCTATGGTGTTTATATCAGGGTAATACTTGTTTCCAGGGATTAATTTGGAAGTAGTACCTCCCTTTCAATTTCCTTGAAACTGTCAGCGTAAATGGTATTTGTTTTTCATTAAATGTCTTGTCAAATTTAACTTGCTAATCCATAGGACCCATGCCTGTCTTTTTGGTAAGTGTTTAGTTACATTTTCAATTTCAATGACCGAGATCAAGTTTATTTAGAATTTTTATCTCATTTTTGAATCACTTTTGGCAATTCATGTGTGCCTGAGAATCTGACCATTTCTTTTGTGTTTCCGTCCCATTCTACTACTGATTTACTAATTAGTACTGAAGATCAGGATTTCTGTAGGATCCACTGTGATTTCCTCCTTTTCATTTCATCCCTTGGATTGAAGTCTCTTTTTTTCTCTTTTTTGAGACGAGGTCTTGCTATGCAGTTCAGGGTGGCTTTGAGCTCACTTTGTAGCCCAGGCTGTTCTCGAACTCACAACGATCCTCCCACCTCAGCCTCCTGAGCGCAGGGATTACAGGAGTGAGCCACCATGCCCAGCAGGTAAAAGATTTTCAATTTAATTTTTCAAAAATACAGCTCTTTGATTCATTGATTCTTTGTAATTTTTTAGTCCCCATTGCATTAATTTCAGCTCTCATTTTCTCTGTCCCATGATATTTGATTTGTTCTTTGTCTAGAAATATGAGATTCAATATTTAGTTTTTTGAGAATTCATTGCTATAAATTTTCCTTATTTTATGCTTTCTTTGTGACCATAGCTTTTGGTATGTTCTACCAACATTATACTTTAATTAAGTTACCATTCAATATGTTCTTTAATAGCCTCTGTGACTCACTAATTTCTTCTAGAGAGTGTTGTTTAATTTCCATGTGGTAATAAAGGTTTTGCAGTTTCTTTTACTGATGGTTTCCAACTTGACTGCACCATGTTCATGCATGGGATGATTTCAGTTCCTCTACTTTTACTTAAGCATGTTTTTGAACTGAATATGTGGTCTGTTTTGGAGAACATAACCTGTGCAACTGAAAAGAATGTATATTGTTATCTTATAGGATGGAACACTGTGTAGATATCTACTAAACACATGTGTTTACAGGTTTGTGTTATGTTACATGGTAGTTATTTTTAAAAATTTTAATATATTTTTGTGTTTTTGAGATAGAGTCTCACTATGTGCTTCATGTTGGCCCTGGTCTCACTTTGTAGTCCATGCTGGTCTCAAACTTGCAAGGATCCTCCTGCCTCAGCCTCCTGAGTGCTGCGATTACAGGAGCACCTCATCGTGCCCGGATTATTGGTTGTTGAATTTTTTGATACTTGATCTGTCTGTATTTGAAAGTGGGATATTGAGATCCCTCATTATAGTTGTGTTAGTGATTATTTGATTTTTTGTATCCATTCATATTTGTTTTATGCATTTGTATGCACAAATATTTTGAATATATGCGTTCATGATTTTTACCACTTCTGCTTGTAGTTTTTCCTGAACCAGTATATAGTAACTTCCTTTCCCTCTTAATTTCATCTTAGTGTACCTTTCCTTGTCGTGTCAGTATCTTATTTCTCCATTGATGTTGAAAGATAGTTTGCCAGATACATTAACTTCAGTGAAATGTTGTTTTCTTATAGGGCTGAAAATACCTCACTGCCAGGACTCCTTCCTTTGAAGATTTGTGTTAAGAAGTGTGCTGTGATGGCTGGGGATTTAGCTCAGCAGCATAAGCATCTTCCTGGCTAGTTTAGGGTCCTAAGTTCAATGACTGGTACCACCAATAAATAAATAAATGAGCATTTATTCCATATATATATATGAAAGAAGTGTGCTGTGCTTCTGATAAGCTTTCCTTCTTGGTGTTTTGTTTGTTTTCTCCAACCAATTTTACTGTTAGGTTCTTGCACTGAAATTTTGAAATCTTGATTATTAAATACCTTTGTGCAGTACTTACTTTCATCATGGCCAATCAAAGTTAGTATGTTTCACTTATTGCTAGTCTAATTCTTTCTCTGTGCTTGAAACTTTCTGCAACTCGTTCTGTGAAGAATTTTATTATGGCTTTTGTGGTGTCTCTGGCTTTCTGACTGACTGCAGTCCATTTTGTATTGTTCTAATTGGCTTTACCTTGTCTCTCCTGGGTTGATTTTTGATGGTCTCTTGTTATTTTAGGATATCTTTCTTTTCATGGTAGTTAACCCAATGCTATCTTCTAGATCTGATAGTCTATTGTGCCCTCCAGCAAGTCTGTTGCAAATACTTTCTATTTAGTCTTTAGTTTAATGGATTTGAGTTTCAGTCTTTATCCTAGATTCCATTTGTTTGCTATATTGAGTATGTATGATTTCTATCATTTTCTGAGCTGATCTATTTTTCTCCCTGTTATCTGGTTCATTATCTATCATTTTGTTCAACATTTCCTTTTGTAATGTAGAGATTATTTTTTCTTTAGGCTCATCCATTGTGTTGTTAAGTATGTTGTTGTCATTTGAGAAATTTCCTGTGGTGGGCTCCTGATTTCCTCTATCTGTTGTGCTCTGGACTTGTCCTTTTTTGGCTGAGCATATTCGGTTGCAGTTTGTTTCTGTATGTTTTCATTTTCTAATTCTTATTTTCTTTTGTTTTGTGTGTTAGTGTTTGTATATTTCTTATAGTAGATAAGTTTATCTCTAGTATTCCCAGGAACTGTCTGTTCCTCAGGGATGTCTTCTCTCTGCAGGTGTTTGTGAGTCTTTGTGTTCATGCTGAGAATCTACCTTCCCAATATATTAAGGATGAGAAGCTGCTATGCATTGGGCTCAGCACCTAATCATTTAGCAGTGGACTCTACTGTTGGTTGTTAACTCATGCAATCGCAGTGCTGTTTTATGAGGAAGTTAAAATGATGATAACAAGTGTAACATACTGGTAGATTAGTATAGTTATCACTTACAATAGCTGAAAACAAGCTTGGCTAATTACCTTCTATAACCAGATCCATTTAACTGCTGGAGGAATTTCTACTGTTATATAATACACTGACATTTACCAGGCCACTGGATACAGCGACTTTCTTCTTAATGGAGGGATTTTACCCTCTTGCCTGGTAGGACTAAAAGGTACTAGGGCAAGAGAGAGAGGCAAATGAAGTCAAATGTAGTAAGAGCAAGACTGAAGGGAAAAACATCCAAGTTTGCAGAAACTAGAAGGCTTAGGAGGAACAGCCTTGAAAAGAAAGCAAAAGACTATCAAAGTGAACTTGACTGAAAAGAAACCGTGATTATGCACATGAATGTACTTAAAAATCAGCAGTATATATAAGGAAAGAGAAAAAGAAAATGAGTAGAAGATAACAAAACAAAGATAAAAAGTCTAAATCGTGAAAGTAAAAAAAGAAAGCAAAAGCCTTAAAACAATACCCACCAAAAATAAAGCACAACCAAACAACAGAAAACATAGCAATGAACAACCAAATGGGAAAAACAAAACCAATCAAAGAGAGAAGTATTAAAGTAGTAAAATTCCTCTGGTATATTGTTTTCTGTGGTAGGTCCAATTTGGATTTCAGAAATATTTTGTACTCTGGCCAGGTGTGCTGTGGGATTTGTGTAGAATATGGTTGTTGACCTTGGCCTCTGAATGTGGGGCTCAGATTGGCATTCCACTTTAGAGTTCTCCCTGAGCCCATAGATAAAAAATGGCAACCCCTTCTGTGCACTCTTATTCCATGATTCTGTCTGATAAAGGATGTAACACATATTATGTAAGTTACTATGTTTTGGCTCATAGTGTTATTACAGTGACAAACCTGTTGTGCCACTGGCTCTACCTACCCATCATCTCTGCTACTATGAGGCCTACTTGAGTCACTGGGGTTTGCCCTTGAACTGGGTGTCAGGTTCACGGTGGCTCTTCAAGTTCTCAAGAGGGGGCACCAAGAAGATGGGAAAATAAATAAAAGATGAAGGTTGAGATCAGGTGGAACCCTCTCTCCTGATGGGAGGAAAGAAAGTACTCCCCCAGTGCAGTGAGTTTATTGTGTGCATTAAACAACTTCATGTTACATGACAAAACATTGCCAATATTCTGCATGTATAGCAACCTAAGAGCTTCAGGTTTTTGTGCCTGGAGTCTGGTGTTTGTGGCTCAATCTCTACAGTCCTTGCTCTTGAACTCAGCTTATCTCACCCCTGCATGTTTGGTCAGTCAGATTCCAATTTCAATTTCTCCCAACAGCTAGGCAAGCAACAATGACCCTACTGGGACCATTCTGCTTTGCTGTTTTCTCCACCTGTGCTGGAGACCATGCGGTACCCCAACTGGACTGAGCTGTCATGTCCTCACTTCAGAGGTTTATGAATTAAGGTGGTTCAAGTTGTCACAAGTCTCAGTTTGCCTCTTTTGTTGATTTAGGAGACTGTGAACTTTGCAGATGTGGTTGTGAACTTTACCATGGAAGAGTGGGGTTTGCTGGATCCTTCCCAAAAGAAGCTTTATAGAGATGTGATGTGTGAAAACTTTAGGAACTTGGCTGTTATAGGTAAGAAAACTGTCATTTTATCTATGGTATCTGAGACAATGGGATATTGCACATCAGTGCAGTTTCCTTAATTGCAGAGGGAGAGATCTTTATGCATTTTCCAGTGATGCTTGCATTATGCTGTGAATCTAACTGGCATCTGTTAATTTTTTGTGTTGTGTAGTTGTTCATTATTATATTTCTGTTTGTACACTTTAGGAAAAAATTGGGATGAGCAGCAAATTGAACATGAATACAAAGAATACAGGAGAAGCATAAGGTAATTGTCACTCTGAAAAGAAGAATGTCCCTGAAGAGTCAGGATATGAGCAGAAATAGTAAAAACAGCATCCAATATTTCAGTCTCAGGAAGCTCCTCCAGAAATGCATACACTGTGTTTGAATTAAAGATCAAGTACAGGATATGTAATCAGGTATATATGTGAGTGTGTTTAAAACACCACTTTAATGGGGACCAATTTATGTAAACAGTGCTATCTTTGTTTAAAACTAGTAAATGCACTGAATTTTCCTCTAAGCATAACATTAATGGAACTGTACATGGACATTTTTGAAAAAGTTGAAAAGAGAAATTCCATTTTTCCTGAAATAGTGGTGCATGCATACTTTCCCAACACTCAAGACATCATTAAAGAGGATTGCCATGAGGTAGTTGTCATCCTGCTACACACAGTCAATGCTGGTTTGAAGTATACATCATGATGATGTCTACAGAAAAGAGAAATACTTTTATCCTACTATACCTCCTTGGTATCTTCCTGTCAAGGTTAAAGTAATCACATGATGATAATATATACATACTCATCTTTGTAGCTTCAGAATATATAGTACCTAAGCTGAGGAAACATCCTGAATGGTCATTCACAGATGGATATATTAAAGCAATCGAGTTGACTCAAATGAATTTTAATATTGTGAATATGTGAGAGGAAACACATTAATTCAAGCTTAGGCTATAACAATGTTTGGTTATAGTGTATTAAAATAAAAAAAGAAAGACGAAAATGTAGCTTAGTGCTAAAACTCTGCATTCTATCTCCAATACTGAATGAAATGTCAAGTGTCTACTTTTATGAAGAATACTCAGCCATACAGAACCATGATTTGATGTCACTTAAGAAAAGGTGGCTGGATTCTGTAATCATAATGTTATGCCTAATATGTGAGACATAAATATCAGTACCAGTTATTATTTGTAGAAAAAATCAGACATGTTCATTAGAAGTTAAAATAAAGGGTGGAATTGCAGAAAAGTGAGCCATAGATGGATTAGAGAATATTAAGAGATTCAGTCGAAGGCTGTGGTGCTTCAGTTCTGGAAGAAAGGGTATCAAAAGTACAACACAAGAGGTATATATACATAGATATTACTCAAAAGGAATTGCCCAAGGGAAGTGTTCTGTGCTGCTGTCATTAGAATTATAAATAAAAAATGTACATTCTGCATTTTGGCAAATGCTCTCTCAAGCCATAATTCAAAGTAGAAGGTAAATTCATGGAGAAATAGTTTTAAAAGGCAACAAAGCAGATCTCCTCATAGAAAAATCATTAATTAAAAAAAGGTTGTTTAATGTGATTGATCATATTTTCTCATTTTTCTTTCACAGGAGAGAAGAAATAAAGAAATGTTTACAATATAAAATATGGCATTTGCATGAAGAGAGACTTTGCACTCCAGATACTAATAAGAACATGAAATCAATCAGAACAAAACCAAGTGAATGGTATACTTGCAGAATGCCCTTCATTGATAAAATATTGCCCAGAGTTCACTTTGTAGCTAACACTGGACTCAAATTGCATCGGTATCAGGGATCTGAAGATGGGAAAACCTGCACTGACCTGCACTGCTTTCACAAACATGCAAACAGAATTCCTGGAGAGAAATCCTATGCATGTAACCAAAGTTTAAAATGCTACTCTGATTTTCCTGAAGGAAGCAGTACTGAAGAGAAATCCTTTGTCTTTGAGAAAGATATGAAAGCCTTCAATATACCCAAATATGTTCGAATATGGGAAAGAAATCATACCAAAGTGAGCAAACATTTATATGTACAATATGAGCAAAATTTTAATTCTCACCATGATGTTCAGATACATAAGATAGCTAACAATGTTGAAAATCACTCTGTAAGTAAACAGTGTGTGGAAATACTCAACAACATTTCATTTTGGGAATACAAAAAAATGCACAGTGTGAAGAAACTGTATGTATGTAAGCAGTGTATGGAAATTTTCTTCTCTAGCAGTGACTGTAAAAGACATGAAAGAGATCACACTGGAGAGAAACCATATGTATGTACACATTGTAGAAAAGCTTTTAGCACACACAGTCATTGTAAAAGACATGAAAGAACTCACACTGGAGAGAAACCATATGTATGTACACATTGTAGAAAAGCTTTTGGCACACACAGTCATTGTAAAGCACATGAAAGAACTCACACTGGAGAGAAACCATATGTATGTACACATTGTGGAAAAGCTTTTAGCAGAAACAGTTATTGTAAAGCGCATGAAAAAATTCACAGTGGGGAGAAACCTTATGTATGTTATCAATGTGGGAAAGGTTACAGCTGCTACAATAATTATAAAGCTCATGAAAGAATTCACACTGGGCAGAAACCTTATGTATGTACACATTGTGGAAAAGCTTTTAGAAGATACACTTGTTGGAAAAAACATGAAAGTACTCACACTCGTGAGAAACCATATATATGTAACCAATGTGAGAAAGCCTTCCACTCATACAGTGCTCTTCAAAGACATAAAAGAACTCACCCTGGAGAGAAACCATATGCATGTGACCAATGTGGTAAAACATTTAGATACCAAAGTGGATGTAAAAGACATCAAAGAAAGCATACTGGAGAGAAACCTTATGTATGTAACCAATATGACAAAGCTTTTGCTTCACACAGTAACTATAAATTACATGCAAAATCTCACCCCTGGGAGAAACTCTATGTATGTAATCAGTGTGGGAAAGCATTTAAATCCCAAAGTGAAGGGACAATTTGTAAAAGAACTCACACTGGAGAGATATCATATATATGTGACCAATGTGGAAAAGCATTTATATCCCAAAGTCAATATAGAGAACATCAAAGAACTTTCACTGGAGAGAAGCCCTATGTATGTAACCAATGTTGGAAAGCCTTCACCAGACACAGCCATTATAAAAGACATGAACGAACTCACTGTGGGGAGAAACATTATGTATGCAACCAATGTGGGAAAGCCTACACCAGACATGGTCAATTTGAAAGACATGAAAGAACTCACACTGGGATGAAAACCCTATGGATGTAACCAACGTGGGAAGCCTTCACCCAACAAACATTGTAAGCCATTTTAAGGAGAAGGCTTAGATATGTAAAATGTGAGAAAGCCTTCACTAGACAAAGTCAGTGTAAAAGACAAGTACTCACACTGCTTAGAAACTGTCTATGTAAACAGTATGGGTAACTTCAACAGAAAGATTGTCAACAACATGAAAGAACTGAGTATGAGGAGAAACTATCTACATAAGTAAGGTGGAAAAGGTCTTAGGCAATACACTCATTTCCAAAGGCATGAAACTTCTAGGGTACAAAGGTTATGTTTTTAAATTGTTTAAATGCATAAACTACACATAGATATGAAATTAAAGAATTGTTAAAATAATCTTCAGCCACCTAGTATTACGGACTTAAAGGTGTAAGAAATCGTGTGAATATATATAATGTAACTTATGTAAACATTAAAACAAATTGGAGAGCAGTCTGTAAAAATTTGAAAAAAATCTTTCAATACATAGAGCAATCACATTGTAAATGAAGCAGTAATTGAAGATGAGAACCTTAACATCTATGAACAGTATGGGAAAATTTTTTTCTCAGTGCTTTCAAATACATAAATATTTTTATGTGATCAAAGCCTTATGTATGTAATTGATGTGGCAAATCCTTAAATTTTTCCGCATTGAAGTAGATGAAGAAATTCCTATGAAACATAAACCCCATGTGGATAATTGTAGAAAGCATTTTCTAATTTCTGTATCAGAAAACATGCATACACATAAAGGGAGAGTGCATATAGAGGGTTTGAATTGTCCTTACATACAACTGACCTTTCTTTGAAACAGGAATTCATAGTGGAGAAATAATATATCAATGTATATTTTTGATCATATGTCCATGCTTTCATATTTCAAGTGAAGAATGTTCTGTGAGAAACCATTAAAAAAATGGATACAGAAATCTTTTTCATACATACTTTGTATCACATTAAATGCCTATAAATGTACATGTCTATAAATGTTCTCAGTTATAATTTAGTTTTAAAATCATTTGAATGTTTCTCAAGTGCAAATATATACAAATCATAAAGCTGGATCTGTTTTTTTCTATGAAATATAGAAGCAGAAGAGATACTCTAAACTGTGAATATGTAAACTGTTGAAGTAGATCTCTGCAGTAGATATCATCAGTTGCATTTTGTGAATATATATTGTACTAACATAAATATGTTACTGTAAGGATAGTATATGAGTTTGGCATTGCCTTTACTGAAACTGGGTCATAGTTTATACAGTGATGCACGTAAAGGTAAGTTTCTATATACTTTACATACTAGGAGGGTTAGAAGTTTTGTAGCTCTGTTTATATTCTTTGGTTTTGTTTTTAGTAATTGTGGGATAAAATGACTCTCAAACTGAGCTTTTGTTAGGTTTTCTCATTCTGTACTATGCCATTTAATAGGTGTGTGCACGTAGTCTATTTTTCAAAAAGAATTTTGATATTAAAATGCTTTATGATTATCATTTTATTTTCCACTGTTTTCTACTCATTCACCTGTTTTCAGCCAACTTGTAGGTTAACACATTTTCCATATTTGAAAAGGATGTGGTCATATTTCTCAACAAACTTATAGATGATACACAGTTCAAGGCTGTGCCTATATTTCATTTGATATCAGAGTGATTATACTCATGTGTATACAACTTTCCATATTGTTTACCACATAAAATTTTATTTCCTCAGACATATTGCCATATAATTTACCGGTAATCATTCTGTCACTCCTCCCACTAAACAAAATGCACTTTCATGAGTCTCCATGGCAGTATACATAAGGATTATATTTTGTTTTAGACAACATGTAATGGAATTATAGTAATTAATCTCTTACTGTAAATGTTAAATACTTTGTCATTATAAATGTTGATGTTCATAAAGACTTTGCCTACACAAATGTCTTCAAGTTTTTATCTACATTGTCTTCCAGCAGATTTAATGTTTGTGTTTTAATATTAAGATCTTAGATCTATTTTACATTTACTTTAGTGTGTGTTAAAAGATATGGGTCCAACTTGAATCTTCTTGCTGTGCAGAGCCAGTTTTGCCAATGCCATTTGTTAAAGAGGCTGTGTTTCTTCCAGTGAATATATTTGGCAACTTTGTCAAAGATAAGTGGGCTCAATGTGTCTGGAGTTGTTTGTGCACTTTCTAATCTGTTTCACTGATTTGTGGTCCCCCCCCACCCCCACCCCCCCGCCATATGACACTGTTTTTGTTTTTGGTTTTTTAAATTTTTTTTGGTACCAGAGATTGAATTTACCAGCTTGTGCTTGCCAGAAATGTGCTTATACCACTAAGCTAAATCCGTGGCCTGCCACTGTTTTTACAACAGTAGCTTTATATGATTTCAAGTCAGGGATTGTGATGCCCACTGCCTTGCCTTTGTTGCCCAGGATTATTCTTGCTTTCAAGGTCTTTCTGATTCCAATTGAGGGGCTGTGGAGAAAAAGGAACTCTACCACTGTTGCTGGGAGTGCAGACTGGTGCAACTGTGGAAATCAGTGTTGAGATACCTGAAAAACCTAGGACTAGAATTCTCATTCAACCCAGCTATTCCCCTTCTGGGTATCTTTTCAGAAGAATTTAAAACATCGTAGCAGATTGATATTTGTGCATCCATGTTTATACCAGCACAATTTGTAAGAAATCTTGGAAAACGCCTAAATGTCCATCGGCTGAGGAATGGATAAAAAAGAATGTGACATTTTTATGGAATGGTGTAGTACTGAACTTTAAAGAAGGACAATCTTGAGACTTTTATAGGTAAATGAATGCAACTTGAGATAATATTCATAAGTGAAATCAGACTCGTGTAAACATTGTCTCACTAAGCTGAAAGAAACGTATATAAAAAGATAGTTACACTATTGATTTCTCTGAAGTAACTGCAAGGAAAAATTTGTGCTGGTATTGTTTGGACAATGGAATGCGGATGTCTTGCTGTGTGAGAATGATTTGGGGATGATAATGCATAATATATTTGCCATTGGCATGCTCTGATTCACATTTAAATTTATTTTTATATGTGAAATAAAATAGATTTGAAGGAAACAAACACTGATTTTTTTCTAACTCCATTTTTTACTTCTTTTTAATTATTTGTTGTTTGTTTATGGTGCTGGCAGTGAAACCCAGGGCTTCAAAGATTCCATGCGAACATCTGTATCCTTTTTTACATTGTTTTATCTGTAGTCATTTCTGAATTTCATGTTTTACTCAACTAATATTTTTCTTATTTTATTCTGCACATAATTTCTCTCCCCCCCCCCCCACCTTTTTTGTCTTTCCTTTTATCGGTACCGGGGATTGAACTCACGACTGCCTGCTTGCAAGGCAGGAGCTAATGCTGCTGAGCTAAATCCCCAGCTCCTATAATGAATATTTTTACTGTGCTTTGCACTTAATATTTAGTAAACATACCTTTTCTTTTTTTTTGTTTTTTTATTGGTATCAGGATCGAACTCAGGACTGCCTGCTTGCAAGGCAGGCACTTATGCTGCTGAGTGAAATCCCCAGCCCCTGTTTTCTCACTTTTTAATCATTTAATTCTCATCATTTTTTCATGTTACTTTTCCTAACTCTATAAACATCGCTGTATCACCATAAAGCTTTCTTGCATTTCTCACCCCTGTATCTCATAGCATTTGTATCCAGGTTTCAGATTGTTTTCTTCCATGCTATTGTTCTCAGACCCACATATATTTATAGTGTCACATGGTGTTTTGTTGGCCTTTAGACAGTTGCTTTTATAAAATTACTCTTGAGTTATTTTGAGCCACTACAGTTAGGGTTATATTTCCAGCTGCATTTGACACCACAACTAGTTAGTGTAAAAAATACTTGTTCATCTAATACCAATTAATTAAAGATTGGAGAGATTTTAAGAGCTATCTAGTTAGAATATCTAAATTTCTGTCAGATTCACTGCACTTTTCCATTGGAACTTTAGAAAAGATCTAACCCCAACATTCTTCCAACTTTTAATGAAGTAGAAAAGGACCTAATAGTCACAGAGTCACTTGTGAAAACAAACATTCCAAAGTCAGTTATGAATACAATCAAAAAAGCCACACAGTCATCCAGCAAGTCACTGGGGTGGTGGTGGCAAGAGTCGGCCCTGCTGAGAATGGAAGCACACTGACCAAAGAAGGCTCCAGTGGGGGTGTACATGCCACCCAGCCTTGATGGGGACCCAGGGACTGTGGAAGGTCCTGGTTGGGGCACACACGATAGGCAGGCATGGCCAGTGATGTGGAAAAATCTGAAGCAGCAGTGAATATGAGGCGGCAATTGCTAAATAAGGTGAACCTGTGTTATGCTTTGTCACACAGATGTGCAGAATAGAAACAGACACCAAAAAATGAAGCACCATTTTTTTTGTTTTTATCAAAAGGTTCAGGGAGAACTCCATCACCAGACCCGTCCCATCTGCACAGCCAAAGAACACGTCAGCCCCATACCCAGCACAAATCCATGGCTGCATCCCAGTGCTGCAGTGCTAACTGTGAAAGTGGTAGTGGTGAAGAGTTATTGTTACGGGAAGGAATGAGCTGTGAGCGCTGGGGTGCGCTGCTTCCCTGATATTCCCTGATGGTTGCATTGTACAGAATCTTGGAATTCCGGACTTTTACTCTGAACTTTATTTCCTACGCTTTTTAACAATTTCTTTTTAGAATTCAAGATTGAGCCTAAGTTGACAAGCTATTTTAAATCTCTTTGCTTGCCTGTTTTGGGGGGTTATTTTATTTTGGTTTTTCAAAAAGGTGTTTATTCCTTCAATGTGAGAGAGATGAAGAGAGATAGAAAAAGGAGATCAGCCTTTATTGTGAGTGTGGGAAGGCTGCTGAAGAGACTGAAGCACCCTCAGGAAAGATCCAAAAAGAAACTGTGAGCCTTATTTGGAATTCACGGGGCCAGAGTTACAGGAGTGGGCAGAATAATGTATTGACAGATGGTTAAAGGAGCAGCAGCCAAGAAAGGTGGGAGATTTGAACTTTTGGGTTCACAACAATGAAAAGTTAGCGTGAATGGCAGCACTGTCTCTTGCCAAAGGGAGGCACGTCCAGCACCATGTGGGCCGGCACATGGAAAAGACCTGTCATTTCCATCTTTTGGTGGCTAAAGGATGACGTGTCTTTCTCTAGCTCCTGTTCTGCTGAGCATGGGCATTGTGGTGGGGACTAAGCTGTGATGCAGAATGATGAGTAGTTCCCATGTAGAGGCTGCCCTGGGGGTTTCTGTCATGTCTAGAATTTCTCCAGCAGTGAAAGCTTGCATTCTTGGATGGGTAAACCTCAAGAAGAGTTTAAAAACACAGGGTGTTACAAGCAGGACAAAAAAAAAATTGTGATTAAAGGGCCTATTACTATAGGTGCCCATGAATCTAAGGAAGGCCACCAGGAGGACCATGGGGTTGTATTACATCCCTTGAGGTTTTTTTTCTATGTTTGCTGCCAAGTGTTGGAGCTAGTGAATTTGGCCTGTGACTATGCTTGATTGGTTTAAAAAGAAACAATATTGTTCTTCCAACATAGCTCAGGACCACCTCTCTGCCATCAGCACATCGAGGGTGTGATGGTTTTGTAGGACAACTGCTGTTAGAGAGGTGATCTGGACTTCAAGGGAGTCTGTAGTTCTTGACTTTCGATAAATAGAGGTTTTAAATTGTAGGCAACTGAGTATGGAAGTAAGCACCCCATTCCCCAGGACCCATGTCAATAGCTGAGAAGATACCAGGTCCTGTGAGTACAGGTGCTGTGTCCCTAGATGACCTACAGAGCCCTGTGTGGGAGTTAATCTGTAGTCTTTGCATGCCTTCAGAATTTGTCTGCACTATCACTTGTCTGGCTGCTACTGCCAACATGCAGGAGCTCTGCCATTTTGAATGGAGCCAGGGGACTGCTCCAGGCACACAGACAAAGAATTGTCCATTAGCAGGGCACAAGGGCCAGTGGTATTTGTCATCTCTTTTAGATGAGTGCATGGCTATCGAAAACCCACCATAGGTGTTTTACCACTTTGATCTTAGTGAAGAATATGGGTGAGCTTTTTCTGGCCATAAGTGCCCTAGTGCTAAAGTTTGGAGGCCTGTCAATTTGTGCATGTGCACATATTTGAAGGTCAATATCTCCCAGGTGAGTGAATATGCTTTGTATGAATCCTGCTTTAGGGCAGGCAAAGCCAGCAATTGGAAAAGTCAGTTGAATTGGAAAACAGATTCTAAGAATTTTTATATGTTGTTGAAGAGGAGTGGTATGGGTAGGGGAATTGGAGCATGGTGAGAAGATGAAGGAAAGCGCTTCCATGGCATAGACTGCATGTCTGGGAATAAATTTTTGTGTGGAGTTAAGAACATGTAGTTTTTGTAAGAGGTAGGTACCTGGTGTAGTTGAAATACCCATGTTTGGCTTCCTGGGAGTACTGAGAAGGTTTGTTGGCCCCTGATAGTGACATGTAAGATCTGAGTCCAGGAGTACTTTCCTGTCCAGGTGATGTTAATGGATATATATATTCCTATATGTTCATCATGATTAGTCCAGAATGTACTTTCAGTTCTGCCTTTGGATTCATATTCTCAGCAAGGGCAGTGGTAGTAACCTGCATCCAAACAGGATGAATCATGTGGGTTTTCTGCGAAGAATGGAATCTAGGACAAGGACAGCATTGCTGTGTAGATCTTTAACAGAGACAAGTGAGCACCAGGGAGTGTAGACTGTGAGATTACCAGAGAAACATTTGTCCTGAGCTATAACGGTATTTGTGTAGCCCACTGCTCCTCCATGTTTTGTGAGGTAAAATTTATAGGGTGATTGTGGGAGTGGTTACAGTTGTGTCAGTGTCAGGAAAGTGAAGATCAAGGCCAGGAAGATATGCATGTCCATAGCATTTCAGAATGATTAAGCCTGGATAACTATCAGGATGACAATTATGAAGCAGATTTTGTGTATGATGTGAAAGTCACCCAGAAAGACCACCTAGAATCTTACTGCAGAAAAAAAGAACTTGCAAAATAGTAAGGATGAGGAACCAGCCAGATTAACAAACCATTGGTCAATCAGAGAGTAACAATCATAGGTCTTTGGAATGGTAAAGACAGACAGGAGCCAGGATCTGAGATGATTACTGGAAAAAGGTGCATTTTAAGGAGTCTAACTGGTGGACCTGCTTAGTCTGGGTGATGTGGAATCAAGATGGCAATCCAGCAACCTTGACTGCTATTTAATTGCGAGGTAGACTAGGTAAGGTACACTCTGCTTAACTTGTGACAATGTGGGTTTAGTAGATTTAAAGTAAATTAAGGCTCCTGGAGGTATTGGAGGTTCTGGTTTGGCTCTCTTCAGAGGGTTGTGGGAGACAACAATCTGCATGTTGGCATGGTACATGTTGAAAGAATGTAAGAATTGGGATACAGTCTGCCCACTGAGGAAGATCTTGGGAGGCAGGCAAATTATGAAGTCAGAATGGTTGACCATACATGAACTTAAAGGGGCTCTGGCAATATGGGACCCTAAGCATGGTTAGAGCCAAAGGAAGAAGCTGAAGCCAAGGTGGATGTAGTTTGAGAGTAAGTTGTGTGAGATGTGTCTTAATGAGTCCATTTGATGTTTCTACCTTCCCTGATGACTGGATGGTATGGGATGTGTAAATGCCATGCAGACTCCTGTTGGGTGGTCTCAGAGATAAAGGCAGGCCACCATCAGACTAAATATTCTGTGGCAGCTGAAATCTGGGTATGATGTCCAGTAACAGAGTTGTGGCCACTCTCTCAGTTGTCTCCCTGGCTATAGAAAAGGCTTCTATGCACATTGCAAAGGTACAGACAAAGGGAAGAAGATACCTGGTTTAATGATGAAGCATGTGGGGAGAGGCTAATTACTAGCCCTTCCTTGGAGTGTGTCCCCTAAGTGGTGAGCATGAAAGAAGTGGGGCAGAAGATGTGCTTAAAGAGAGGTCTTTGCACAGGTGACAATTTTGTCTTTGATACTACATAGAAACAGTTATGTAATCTCATGATAATGTTATAGGCTAGCTGATCTGGTAGCACCTGTTTAGACC